TATATATATATATACAGTATATATATATTTATCTTTTTTTTTTGCAAGCAGGGTAAGAACCTGAATTTGACTTGGTATCAGCCTCTTGTAATCCCCACGCAGATCGGAGGGAAGAGCAAGGGGATGAGCTAATTGATACGCTGTTGCTTTTTACTCTACATTCACAAGACTAGGGATGGAGAGAGGACACCTCTGTATTGTTCCCTATAATGAAGCAGCCTGAGGCAGTTGGCTCCGGTGGCATCTCAAAGGGTCAGGCCCCCTTTCCTGCCAGAGCATCCCAGGCTGCTAAGAACTCTTAGTCCTGCCCAGCTCACTGACTGCGTTACTGGTTGCCTGGATCTGAGCCGGACTCCACCCAGCCCCCGTCTCATCGTGCACCACCCAGCATATACCCCCCTCCACCCCTCCTCGGTTTCAACATTCACCAAAAGCACACATTCCCCCGCCGTCTAGGGACTCCCCTGTCCTTAGCTGTAGTAGAGGTGCAATCAGTTCCCACTGTACATCCGACCCCTGCTGATATATATGGGGCATGTGAGATGGGCATGTGACATAGACACCAAGTTTGGTGTCATATCATTGTCCCCGTCTACACTTGACGATTAACCAAAATTCACAGCTGAGGTATCATCACGGGGCAGAGTCATAACACCTTTCTTGGTGTCTACCATACACGTGTTATGTCAGCAGGATGCTCGAATTACAGAACAATCTCTAATATTTGATGATACTCTAAGGAATCTTTTTAAGTTTTTGAAGAAAGCTCACATTTACATTACTACACAGCAGAGGTAAAGAAAGACTACAAAGCTCTCAAGCTTTGGAAATGACATGGCTCCAGGGCTGGATTTCCCACAAGGCCAACCGAGGCCCGGGCGCGGGGCAGCAGGGAATAGAGGGGCGTGTGGAATACCTATCTCCAGACGCCCAGGGCGGGTAGTTGTTTTCTACATTTAGCCCTGCTTTGGGCAAACAGGGCTAAATGTACAGCGAGGAAGCTGCCGCTTGTTTTGTACAAGTGATCTCGGCGATGTTGCCGAGATCACTTGTATGCAGCCTGCATACAGGGGAGGCGCATTGAGGAACCTGGCATTGGGGCAGCAGAGAGTGTATATTCGGCCCTGCATGGCCTCTATGTGGACACCTTAATATACCTAAGAAGAATGTTCCCCAGAATCCACAAAACCTATAGTTCTGAGGTAGAATTTTTTTTTTCAAATCTCCAACCACAAAAAAGCAAAAAAGAATACTGCTTCTTCCTTTCTTATGAGTAACTCAGACTCTTCTGTTAGTCATCTGCTGTGATGTTTGGAATTCAGACTCATTACTTGTTGTTTCCGTTTAGAATTGTGTTACGATTAAACATCAGGCCAATTTGCATAGATAAAATCATGGTGTGAATAAAAATACAAACATGTTACATGAAGAATTTCATTCAGCAGACACCAAATGAAAAAAAAAGCTTTGATATCTTGAAAGCATAGATGGACTTGGAAGAAACATTGCAGAGAAGTGAAATTTCATTGTAAATGAGAATTATTTTTGTTGGTGTCTGACTTCCAACACTTTGTTTTTCCAGAATCATAATTAAAACCAAGGACTTTAAAGAAGAAAAGTCTGTAGACAAAAAAGATCAAAAGGCTGTTAAGCCTACAAGCGCTGAGAGTAAGAAAAGATCGAACCTACAAACTTCTTCCCTAAGGCGGCATTCAGCATTAAAAAGGTAGGCACAAGATGATGTCCATCAAAGTTCATCAAGGACAGTGACATTTACAACATTTAAAGAGCATATACCGTTTATGAATCATACACAATGTCTGTTTCCTTGAGGAACAAGATCGTTTTCCTCAAATTTCATCAAAGACAGTGACATTTATAACATTTAAATGGATTTTCCAGTTTATAAATCATCTGTAGCCTCCTGTTTAAACTGTTTCCTGTTTTGTTGAATGAAGTGTGTCTATAGGCAGATTGTTCTTGTTGTTTACATACAGTAGGGCAGTGTTATTCAACCTTTTTCAGGTATGGCACCTTTTAATAGTATGCAAAATCTCGAGGTACTCCAGTCTAAAATGTGAAAAAAGGTAAACGTAAAAAGGATGTGGAGTTCCCCTCAAGATCAATACCAAATCCTATCCAAGATCTGGTATGGATTTTAAGGAGGGAGGACACCAGGCAAAATGACCAAAAAGAAGACAGCTTCTCCCCTTCACATCAGAGACAACCTTTTCACATCAGCCCCCTTCACAGCGGCAGCACCAGCAAGGGTGTCACCCAGTGTGGCCACGTCATGACGTCTGTCTTGTGAGGTCATCATGCATGCGTGGTGATGTTCTTCACTGCCGGCGTCCATCTTGGTGATGGATCCCAGCAAAAAGAAGAGAGGAGATTGGCGAGATATGGTACGCAGCTGGGTCCCAACTCTCTCTCGTGCTGCTGTCAGGCTCTCGGTTCATTACCGAGTGCCCAACTTTTAGGAGGGGGGTGACACCAAAATGACTGAAGTCATTTTGGTGTCACCCCCTCTCAATGGTATAAATGGCACAATCAGAAGGTTGACACCAAAATGACTGTCAGTCATTTTGGTGTCACCCACTCTGATGGTGTCAATCCAGTGCGGGCTGCACCCCCCTTGTGGCGCCACTGCACCTTCATATCAGAATCCCCCCCTTTAGCAAAAATGTGAAGCACCCCTGAAAAAGCCATTAGCTATCCCAGGGTACCATGACACCCTATTTGAAAAAGGCCGCAGTAGAGAATAGTTAGAACCCTTTTTAGTTAGAACCCATTTTTTTTTCCCTTCTTGATTTTTTACTGTCTTTGTCCCACGGGGGATGTTTTCCTCTACGTCTTGTCCCAGTGACAACTGAATTGGCCAAAATTGAGGTAATGAGTGGTCCTGTCAGCACAAAAGTCAATTTAGAAATCGATTGACTGGGATGGAAAATTGTCGGCCCAACAATGATTGCATCAGACCATCAGCGTCCTGCTGCAGGAGTGCACACAGGAGGCTGACAACACTGCCAGGAGAACCAGAACGTGTGGTTTGTGTTGTCGCCCACTATCCAGAAAAGTAACATTCTGCTGAGATCAACAAGCAAAAGCTGGAAAGTTACAATGAGATTGGTGAGAGGAAGCATTTAAGCAGCAATCACATCTTGGGTTTACAAACACTTTAATGTTTCTACTTAAACGATTTGTACAGAGAGAATGTAGACTGAGATAAAATGGGATGCTACCATCTGGATCCGTTATTTCATAGGCGTTGGATGCAGCCATTGACTTGATTTGTCCTTATGAACTGTAATACGTCTAGCACTCAAGACTAGACTGAAAAAACGGCATGATCATTGCCCAAAGATTAACTTTGATTGATGTGGAGCAAAAACAGATGGTTATAAATTGAACAGATAATGAGCGGCAGCCTGTGATTTGTTTAATTTCTACAGGCGTACTCCTCCTCCCTCTCATTTAAATTTGGAATTTTTAAGTTGGGGAAAATTTAAACAGAAAAGAAAAAAAAGGATATTCGTATTATTGTTAACAAAGATTCACTCTTGTGAAAAGGTAATGCAGAACAGATGTGACATTCATGATGGTACATCTCCCACATCTAGGTATTCACGTAATTATTTTTCTATCTAATTTTACTGTGAGACGTACCGAGATTTCAATCACATTCTGTAACCCAATCCTGGAAAATAATCGTTCAAGGAATGCGAAGGCGCGCTGTATTTTTATGGATAATGTGTTGTCATTAATAAAGCATTTTTAAAAATGGCAAATTAATTCACATTTTTCTGTCCAGTATTATAAATGTTTTGAAGAAGATGATGATAATAGCCGCAACAGACAATACTATTATTGTTTTAATTACTATTACCATTGGGCTGGATGCTGAAGCCCTATACCATGGTGCTGGCACTTCTAGAACCAAAACGCAGGCCAATGAAAGGAACAAAATCATTAGATGGGCTTCACAAATTCTTACTTTTTCTGTGCTGTCCATTCCTTCATCTTTCTATGTATTTCTTACAGAACAATCGGTAGTATTTGGAGATTCTACAAGAACTCTTCCATGGAATATTCTATAGTAAATATTAAAAGAGAACTATGGCCCATCCTTTTTTGGTTGTAGCTCTCTTTTGGGTCACAGTAGGACATTTACTAATGTTCTCTTGTGACCCAAAACTCAGCATATAACGGGCTATTGCCTACTACATGCTGACAGGGCAGAGCCATGCTGACAATATTGTTGAGATCCACCCTGCTTCCTGATTGACAGCTGGCTCTGCCTCTCCAAAGCCAGAGTCAGATGTTCCTGCCCCCTTCCCTGTCTGTCCCTCCGGTCAGGAATAGAGAGTGGAGGGGGAATCCCTGTTGGGAACGGTGACTGACAGTCACTACTCTCTGCAGGAAGAAGATCGGGAGCTGAGCGATCAGAGGTATATGAGCACTCAGTTCTCGATCAATTGAGCCGACGTTTGACAGCTGCACACGTGTCACACGTTGGCTCTAAGAATAGAGATGAGTGTATTTCACTCTCCCTATAATTCTCCTATAAATGTGATAACTGTAATTTATAAAGGACTATAGGGAGCTCTGATTGGTAAAGTGTTTGTAATGACAGTGATCTCTTGCAGTCTCCTATATTATGTTGATGCATCATGTCACAGTCTCCAACTACTGCTGTGGCATGTCTTTAGTCTCTGACATCTCCTTTACTAGGTGTGCAGTCCCTAACCATCTCCTGTAGTATGTCCACTTCCTTTGACATCTGCAGTAGTAGGTCCGTAGTCTCTGACCATCTCCTATAGTATGTCCGCGATCTCTGACATCACTTGTAGCATGTCTGCAGTCTCTAACCATCTTCTGTAGTATGTCCGCTTCCTTTGACATCTGCAGTAGTATGTCCGTAGATTATGACCATCTCCTGTAGTATGTCCGCAATCTTTGAGATCACTTGTAGCATGTCTGCAGTCTTTAACCATCTCCTGTAGTATGTACGCAGTCTCTAACCATCTCCTGTAGTATGTCCGCAGTCTCTAACCATCTCCTGTAGTATGTCTGCAATTTCTGACATTGCTTGTAGTATGTCTGCAGTCTTTAACCATCTCCTGTAGTATGGAGGCTCTCATAGATTAGAGTTAGGACCACTCAACATAGAGGAGCCTTGACGAGGCAGTGCGGCTTCCACATATTTTGCAAAAGCTGTGCAACTAAAACATCTCTTTTTAACGCATATTGTTTGTGTAATTGTTTTTCTTGCAGGTTAGCTGGTAAGTGTGCTGGGGAATGTCTCCTGTAGTGTGTCTGTTTCCTCTGACATCTCCAGTAGTATGGCTGTAGTTTCTGATCAGCTCCTGTAGTTTGTCTGCAGTCTCTAACCATCTCATGTAGTATGTCTGTATTCTCTAACCATCTCCTGTAGTATGTCCATAATCTCTAACCATCTGCTGTAGTATGTCTGCAGCCTCTAACATCTCCTGCAATATCTCTAGAGAACTATGGGGCAAGTGTTTTTCCCCGTAGTTCTCTTTATGGTCACGGGAGGACATAAACTAACCTCCTCGCGTGACCCAAAGCTCAGTATATCGCGGGCTATTGCTGAGAGCGCCGCAGCAGGGATGGACCCCAACAATACTGTCTGGATCCACCCAGCTGCGTGAGTGACAGTTGGCTCTGCCTATCCAGGGGTAGAGCCAGCTATGCCCTCCCCTGTCTGTTCCTCCACCCAACGTTGGAGGATCGTAGAGGGGAGGGGGGAATCCCTGCGGGGAGTGGTGACTGACAGTCACCGCTCACTGCAGGGAGACAATCGGGAAGTGAGCGGATCGGCGGTATGTCTCTGCTCACTTCCCGATCAATAGAGCCGACCTGTGACAGCTTCTTTGTCACAGGTCAGCTCTAACAATAGGATAAGTGGAAATCACTCACCTCATAGATCTCCTTTAAGCGTTGACAGGAGGAAAAGCCACCATTTGTATACAATACGCTTTACGAGGTTGGGGGCTCCTGAGGCATGCTGGAGAAGATATGTATAGGCACCTTATATTCTTCCTATTCAATGATAATGCTACTTTATTCATTTTCTGATGACAGGCATACTTTATCCAGCTGAGCATGTCCGTGTCGTTTAAAAGTTTCAATACAGCATGTGCTTATCAGTATGAATGTTTTAGTATTATGACTGAAAATATGAATAAAATTAAACTCAATACATATGACTTGGAGTGAAGGTTCATGAAGAATTTGTAAAAGATAACTTTTTGACAGCTACATCTGTCTCCGTTTTAAGGAAACACAGAGGCCGCCTGTCCCCATGAGAAATATACCTGTTATCTTGACACCAGACTAATAGCTTGCCTTCTCCCCCTAAATCCTCATGTCTAGTCAAGTGTATTGGTTTAACATTACAACACTTTTCATTAATTCCCGTGTCAAACCAGCAATGCGAAATGTTCGAGATGGTCTGTAATAGATTTATACCAGAAGTTATCTTCTCCACTATGTAACTATTTCTTACAGGAAATGTATAGTACACGTGATTCTAAATATAGACCTGTGCCTTTTCTCTGGTAGTAAAACTCCCGGGACAAAGTCTGAAGAGTTTAGCGAAAGTTCTACAGAGAGTGAAGAAGACGAGGAGCAACCGGAACGGCGTCAGGAGGGTAGCACCGATCTGCCGTCAGAATATTGGCAAATCCAGAAACTGGTGAAATATTTAAAGGTAACTCTTATGTTAAAGTTGGAAAATGAAGAAAAAAAAAAGCATATGCAATACATCTCTGCAATAAATGCACATTTCTCCATGTTTTATCTCCTTAAAGACCCTGCAAGTACAGAACAATACTTGTTGATCTCCCAGAAATGCCCTCGGCCGTTAAATCCTGTTGTGGGCTGACAACACACAGTGTTTTTATGGACTGTCAGTTGTGTCAGCCCTTGCCAGTTGCCTTTTGCTAAACTACTCAAACCTTATCACTCTCCTATTTTTACAACATAGAAACTCATTATTCTGTATTCGAACATTTGAACGGGGAGGGTTAATTGAATTCCTTGAGACAACACAAAACAAGTGCACAGAACAAGGGACAACTCTGAATTTTTGACACGATCAACAGGTATTTTTTTTTTTTTGCATTGTTCAACATGTTCAGCAGTATATCTAACAGAAATAAAGGGAGCAAATGAGAACATTTAAAGAAGAACTCAAAAAATTAACAAAATTAACCCAGGGTTAACATCTCATTTTGGTCTAGCGTCTGGAATACAGACGATACGCTCACCTTATCCTCAGTCCTGCGTCAGAGACCGCTCACCTCACTTCCCCTCCACTCTGGCTGTGATATGTCTCTTGGTATCCTCATGTTTAATGCAAGTAAATGAACCTGCATTCGACGGAATGAGGTCAGTGAGGCTTAGACCGCCGGGGGGAAAGAGGCTGCGGGAACCAGTCTAGCAGTAAGACAGGATTGAGGATTAGGTGAGTATATCTTCTTAACTTAGTCCCTAGACCAAAACGAGCAGTTGACCCTAGCAGTGCAGGGGTAAGCCTCACTGCAAAGGGTAATTTTGCTAAAGCTCTTGAGCTCCTGGACCTCTTCTTTACTTGTTAGGGTTTACATACACGCTAAGATATAGGACATAAAGGGTTAGTCCACCTAATTGCTTCAAACTTAATCTTAGCTGTGATCAGACTTAATTTAAAAGATAATCTTCATGTGCATATTCATTTATCTGCAAATTCTGCTTACCCCTCCATTCTGATATCCTGCTTTTCATGCTTCCTTAAAAACATGCGCCCCCAGCGCTTCTCTTGCTGCTTTGTTCACATGATCTGGGACTGTAATGTAGTGCCTAGTGATAAAAACTACATGTCCCGGAATTCAATTATTCTGACAGTATGCCTAGACAGAAGGGGCAGGGAAGGCACGTCAATGCGCTTCTCATGTTCTGTAATCAACGTATGATGTCATTTATTGGAGCCCCCTAAACAAAATGATCACTCAACCCTTCCAAAGGGGTAGCTCCACTGCAAGGGTATGTTCTTCTTTACGCGGTACATGACAGGTAAGGATAAGATCAGTGTAAAGACCAGTGTAAAACACTAAGCTCTAGCAGCCAATCAGATGTCACCTTTGAACAGTTAGACCAATGAAATCGGTGCACTTTGAATGTTAGTTCTTGTTAAACATGGCCCATGATGTCTTTCCCTGTTCATCATTCTACGTCCCTGACTCTGGGCTGTATTTTGTGTGGTATTTTAATGAGTGCTGCTAGCAATGTCAAAACAAAGTGTGAGCAGAAAGAAATGTCAATTAGGAGAAGTTCTTTTCCAACTTTCCAATTCTTCCAAGTCATAAAAATGGAATACATCAATTTATATTAACGTTTTCACAGGAATCCAAACTCAAATAAAATCTCCTACAATTCGGCATACATGTAAAAATGATCACTTGCTGCTTTACACTTATTGGTAGAAAAAGCCCATAAAGTCTAAACCTTTTTTTTCACTACCAATTCCCTAAATGAAATTTAAATTAAATCCAAATTTCAGTATTAAATAATCCCGTCAGTGACACAGACATCCTGTTGAATGAGCTATTATCCTTCAAAGAATAGTACAGTATGCTCTTTGTATTTAAAGGGGAACTGTAACATTTGTAATTTTTTTGTAGAAATATATCTAAAAGATATTATAGCTTCATGAGTGTAGAGTTATCAATGTGTTAAATTTCAAAATTCTTGTGACTCTGAATAGCTGGTAATAATATATGTACATGAGGGCAGCCATATTTGCTCATAACATTTTCAGACTCTGCTTCCTTTGTTTCTTGCTGATATATCACTACAGTTCTACCAGACAGGATCTGTCCAATTGAAAAGAATAGAGTTCCTATAGTGCAGGGCCGCCCACAATTTTTCATCTGGAGATCTACTTTTTAAATGACGAGCTCAATGAGATCTACCAATGAAAAAACACCTGCGTTCAGGGGTGGGAGGGGGCGTGGCAGTGCATTGAAGTCAATGGCACCGCAGCCACGCCCCCAGTGTAATCGCCGCACCGGAAATGCATGCACATTAGTGCCTGCGTTCCGGTTCAGTGCGATCTGCAAAAATGCTGTATTTTTGCATATTTTTGCAGATTGAGCTGGACCGGAACACAGGCATTAATGTTCCTGCGTTCTGGGTGCAGGCGATCAGACTGAGGGCGGGGGCGTGGCTGGGGTGCCATTGACTTCAATGCACCGCCACGCCCCTCCCGCCCCTGAACGCAGGGAGCCAGCCGGCTTGCGTTCCAATGCGTTGTAGAGGTCGAACACTCTTGTACGCAGAGTTTGTGGTGTGAACCGGCCCTCTCTTCTCTCTCTCCTAGCATACTCTCTCCTCTCTCTCTCCCCCGTTTCTCTCTGCTGTCTCTTCTCTCACTTTCTCTGCTGTCTCTCTCCTGTCTGTCTTTTCTTACCTCCACTTCAATTTACATTTCATTTAGGGAATTGGTAGTGAAAAATAAGGTTTAGACTTCATGGGATTTCTCTACCAATAAGTGTAAAGCACCAAGTGATCTTGTTTACATATATCCAGAATTGTAGGAGATTTTATTTGAGTTTGGATGAGGAAGACATTACAGTTACAATACAAATCCAGACAATATGCTAAGAGGGGTCCTGTCCGTGAGAGCTTACAATGTAAAAGTGAGGGGTAACTGTGTGGGGATGAATTGCTTGAGAAAGTGATAGTTCAGTGGTTAGGGAGGAATAGGCTTCCCTGAAGAGGCAATCAGAGAAGGAGATAGACAAATAGTTTGGGGTAGGGATTTCTAAAGAATGAGTGAGACTCTAGAGAACTCCTGGAGGCGAGCATAGGAGGAATTAACGAGGTAGCTAGAAAGCAGGAGGTCTTTGAAAGAGTGGAGGGGATAGTTAGGGTGATACTTTGAGACAAGGTTAAAGAAATAGCCGGGAGCAAAGTTGTGAATGGCTTTGTAAGTGGTTGTTGATATTTTGAATTTCATCCTTTGGGTGATTGGAAGTCGGGGGAGGGATTGGCAGAGGGGGATGGGGGATGGAAGCCAGTGCAGGATTTGGCAGAGGGGGGTTGCAGACACTGAGCAGTTGGTTAGGTGGGTGAGTCTAGCAGCACCATTCATGATAAACTGAACTGCATAACCAGAGGCCAACGGTGGCTTCTCGAAGGCCCTGCTACAAAACTTTCATCCCGCCACCATGATTACGGAAACAAGTGCAATCCCCCTACACATGTTCTCCCACACACACTCTCTCTTCACTTATCACAGCAGCGCTTCTGATCACAGGTGGCAGGATAAAGCAGTTATACTCACCAGATCCTTGGTCCCATGGTGGTCAGCACTCACCCCCCCCAGTGATGGCATCAGTGGCTCTTAGACCACCAGAGCCCAGGGGAGAAGAGGCTGTGGGGACTGGTCTACTAGCATGGAGGGAGCCTGTGAGACCGAGGATCAGTGCGGTGGGGTAGCCTCAAGCTTAAGAGATGGATCCCCCCCTTTCCCATCCGGCCATTCCAGGAATGTAATAAGAGAGGTCGATTTATTTATAGCCTCCAAAAATCCATTTGTAATGAGCAACAAAGCATCTCAGAGGCAACTTCCACACTTGAAACTTCTCAGCCCCTTCCAGTGCAATGCAGCCCAGCCTCAGGAATCTATTCACTCTCAATGGCTTTCCAAGGCTGGGCATGTCACTCCATTATTCTTTAGTTACTCACTGGAGACAGGCTGATGAGCTGGGATATGAGTAAGATGACCTCTGGCAGTCCTTACAGTGCAGACAGGGGAAGTGTTTTTCAATTCAGTTTATATTATACTGACCAGCCCACAGAAAGGCTGAATTACAGGTCCATTGATCAGTCATGTTTTAAGGTGTATTGTCTGCATAACATTTATTATGTACACTGTAGTTAGGCAATACAATTTTTTATGCTTTCATTTTCTTGAAAACAAGAGCTTAGAAGACTGTATCGATTTAAAGATGAACTCTGGGCACAATAAACTAAATAAATGTTTAGCCCTTTTGCTTTCATGTACATAAGTACTAAGTACCTGGCAGCAGGGAGCTGTAAGCTGACTCCTGGCGGTTTTTGCAGCTGGGATTGTGTTGACACTCACTCAGCTGACTGTTGGCTTTCTGGTATAAGTGATTTAAGTGATTCAGGTGGCTATAAACCTGTCCAATAACTTCTACACAACCCCCCCCCTTTCCTACTTGGCATGTATGCTGGGCTCCACTGGCCCTCCTGCGGGCCCAGGACAGCCATGGCGGGTGTCAGCGAGGAGAACAGGGGGATTTCAGCAAACACCCGTTCAATGATCTCCCCTCTGGTAAATGAACCCGGAAGTGACAAGCATTTTGTCATTGCTGGCCACTATGGCTGGGGAAGAAGATGATCAAGCACAATCTGTGGTTTCTTAGCTTCACTGAGGTTCATAAGTGTTTTTCACCATTTCACAGACACACACAATTTTGAGGCTTGACATGTTGGCTACCTATTGACTTTGCACAACCTCATCTGTTATATTTTAATACACAAAGAGCTATAACAAATATGGTGCCATTGTGTGAATATTAAACTGCAAATGGCTCATGTTAGCCCCAGGAGGGTGGCTTTGGATAAGACCAATAAGAAATACACTGCCTGGCCAAAAAAAGTCACACACTCTAATATTTTCTTGGACCACCCATAACTTTT